CGAGCAGTGGAATGAAATTCTCATTTAGCAATTTTAAGCAAATAAGGTATCTGAACTTCGCTGGTTCCCATATAAGGACGCTTCCTGAATCAATAAGCAGCCTCTGTAACCTGCAAACACTGAATCTGAGAGATTGTTATCATCTTTGCACATTACCCAAAGGTTTGAAGCATTTGAAAAGTCTTATATATTTGGACATCAGAGGCTGTTATTCACTTAAGTGTATGCCTGCTAGACTAGGGCAACTGTCATGCTTGCGGGTTCTTAGCAAATTCATTGTGGGAAAGGACCGTGGTTGTTATATAGATGAATTGAAAGATTTGTTCCTTGAGGGTGAACTATGCATCGAAGAACTTGATAATGTGAAAAGTTCAGTAGATTCTAGAAGTGCCAATCTGAATATGAAGCAAAATCTAAGATCATTAACGTTAGATTGGCAGCGGTACAGAGACGATAATAGTTACCTACATGAAAATGACGAAGATGTTCTTTCTGGTCTCCAGCCTCATTCAAGTTTGAAGAAGCTAGGCATAATAAATTACTATGGTCCAAGGTTTTCAAATTGGTTGATGGATGTACCCAACCTAGTTAAAATCTCCCTGGAGAACTGTATAAGATGTGAATGCCTTCCACCTCTTGGTAAATTAAGCTTCCTCAAGGTCCTTGTCATTTGTGGAATGGATGCTCTGAAGTCTATTGACAGTAGCTTCTATGGAGATGGCGAGACTTCATTCCCCTCATTGGAGAAGCTGGTTTTGTGGCGTATGCTTTGTTTGGAGGAATGGAGAATAGTTAATGATGGGAGAGAAACTTTCCCTCTCCTAACTTCATTAAGTATTAGTAATTGTCCTAAGCTAGTTGAAATACCACCAGTATTTGAATCTCTGAAAAGCCTAGAAATCAGTGGCGATTCCAGCATCTCCTCACTTGCTTCTGTGATGCATCTCACTTCTCTCACATCTCTCTATGTTAAAGATTTAAAGATTTTGCCAGAGGGACTATTGCAACATCACAAGCACCTTGAAAAGTTGTCATTATCAAGTTTCAGAAGGCTGAAGTCTCTATCTGATGTTGTAGACAACCTATCTGCCCTTAAGCGGTTGGAAATTGGTTGGTGCTATGAGCTTGAAAGTTTGCCAGCTGGACTAGAGAACCTCAGCTCTTTAGAGAGCTTGGAATTATTTGGGTGTGATAGCCTCGTCAGCCTTCCAGAAAATGGATTGCGTGGCTTATCTTCCCTTTCTGCTCTGTCTATTCAAAGTTGTGCGAAATTAGAGTCTTTATCTGAAGGGGTGAGATATCTGACTTCCCTCCGAGATTTAACCATCGTGAATTGTCGAGAGCTGAAGTCATTGCCTGAGAGTATCCAACATCTCACATTGCTTTCCTCTCTATGGATTGATAAATGTGAAAATATGATATCATTGCCTCAAGAGCTACAGAGTCTCACGGCTCTCAAACAACTGAGGATTGTAGACTGCCCAAATTTCATGAATTCTTGATCAATTGCCATGGCATCCAATGTCTCAGGCAAAAGACATGCTTCAATATCAATACTTCTTCTTCCCCACGAAACACAGTCATCGTCCCATCATATTTATTTGCTGACCCACTTCTTACCGCAATTGGCCTTCCCCACCCAAAATCATTACCATAAATGTTGAACCAAGGTGAACTACTTGTGCCCATAACGTTACTTCTCACTGTTGCCATTGTTATCAGCTTAGGACATTTTATCCATGACTCCAAGCCCCTTTTGAACTCTTCTTCAGTTTGTGCAGCAATCATCTTGTTCATTTCCATTGCAATTTCACCAACTTTTTTATCTTTAAGCTCCTTTGCCTTCATTGTTATGCCACCATTAATTTTGACTGCATTTCCAAAATATTGGTCTGCCAATTCTTGTAATCTTGGCCTAGCACCAATTATCATCAAGTAATTCATCTCTTCATCGGGCTCTAACTTTTTGTTACGGGCAACTGATCGCCAAATATGAGATAAGAGCGCTTGAAGAGAGGAGATCATTTTATTGGTCCCAACCTCAACATTGGCTTGTGCTTTGAGTTTTGCAATGCTTTGCTTTGTCTAAGACTGAGTTTAAAGCCACATCACTTTAGTTGTTTTTCAATTTTGATCAACTTACGGGGATTAATTAAGTTGTATCCAAGTGGTCAAAAATTACACATGTCAACTTAAAGTCCTGCTATTACAAATTAAAACAATATAAATTGCACTGCTGGTTGATAAATGCAGTACCTTGGCCTAAGCTTAGCCTTATAATCAGGATCAGGGCATGCTTCAAAATACCAATCATCCCTTAAATGCAGTACCTTGGCCTAAGTTGATTTTTGTTCACTTAGTCAAGTGTAATTACCCCTCATTTTGTACTGATTTTGCCTTGCCTTACTTTGAGTTAAAATCTTTCCTTCTTTTTCTTTACATTTTACTTGCTCTGTCTTCCTCTTCTATTTCTTCAACTATGGATCTTTTCTTAATGACATAAAACAACCATGAAATATGCCTTTATATTTGTGTTGCTTGAGTACTGGAATGCTGACCAGGTCGAGCAGGCAAGAAGGTAACATCATTAACTCATTATTATTAACATAATACTATAATAATAGAGGAGTAAAGGTGGATTTATATTTCTCTTCTTTTTTTTTTCTTTAAAATTTGATACCAAAAAATACTTCAGGTCTATAATCATTGGGATTTGGGACTAATGAACCAACTCCCTCTCTATACTTTTCCTATCAACAGTTAAACGAAAAAATGACCATTACAAAAGAATGGGGACACTTTTATCACTTTTGAAACAAATCAATTCAAGCTTTATATCAAAAAATATCAAATGATCACCTCCTCGCCTTAAGGTTTCAGCAATTTATGGATTTGATGTCCGATACCGGTAATCCGCATCATCCCACTTATCCTCGAGGCATAAATATCAAGCATAAAATCTCCTAAAAACATAACAAAATGACCATACAAATAGGGCATGATTTTTGTTTTATCAAAAACTGAGCCGGGTCGAAACATAACAACGCCACACACTCACGAGGCGAACCCCATGAGCATGTAAGGCTAACTATCAATCCAAAATAATTAAAAGTCTAAAATCTTTAAAATCTCTTAAACCAAAATTAATCTTACAATCCCAATAAGAAACCTTAAACAATAGCGGAAGCGGTTCAATAATATAAATAAATTTCAATGTCTAATTAATTAATCCTAGCGCACTCTCCCAAAAGCACCCCAATGCTCAATCGTCATCACTTGAAATATATTAACAACATAATGAGCTAAAGAGCCCAGTAAGTAACAAAACCTAACTATCCGGATCAAGCATTTAAAATCAATTTTCTCAAAAAAATCACAATATTTAGCAAAACAATATTTTATAATCAATTTCTCAATCACGATCAACAATAAAAACATTTCAATAGAGTTCTTATCAGGCTGCCACGATACACGATATCACGATACACAAGATTTCAACCGATCGGTAATAGATTCCGGAACCACCAACAGTTTAACCCCCTGAGGCACGGGTCCACTATGCAGCCATCAAAGTCCCCAAAAACCAATTTTCACAATCTCAAATCAATTTCACAATACCACGATTCCAAATCAATTTTACCTTTCATGCTTGACCCATTTTACGAAACCATTTCAATAGTTCAAAACAAATAAACATCAATCATTTTGAAAATAACCAGAAAGGTTCGGAAACTTACCTGATTAGCAAAGCAATCACAGCACAAAATCCACAGCAAGACAAACACAATCACAATCCTAACAATTTATAACTATTTGTTAGAAACAGAAATTATACACAATGATTATGCATGCTCAATCTACCCTTCAACCAATCCTAAACAACATTGGGGGACCGCTGAAAATTTCTTTTTAAAATATTTAGAAAACACACACATGGAATTTTCCACATTTAACTCACTTTTACTATTTAAAATAACCATTGAAAATAGATTTCGAAATTTCAAGAGAGTGGAACTCCATTTTAAAAACATACGAATAATACTGATATTATAATATAATTTTCACCAAAATTTCAGAACCTAACTCTTTAAGATCATATCACACTCTCTCAATCAATTTTCTAAAAAGAATAATTTATATAAAATAATTTGTAATCTGAAAAATCATATAAAAATTCCAGAAAATCATAAATATTTTGTTGAGCAAATCCTCCAAATTTCACTTCAAAAAGACCTAGGGGTGAACTACACTCTCCGATTCAATTTATGGCCGAGAGTGGGCATCACAAATTACTGTTCATCTTCTTCATGAACAAATCTGAAAATTCCAGATTCGTCCCATCGACCAGCCATCTTTGGAGCTTCGATTCTCTCTCCTCAAAACACATATGCAGGTATGGAAAGTACCATTAAACAGAGCTTACATCATACTACAATTACCCCATAAGCTTGGCCTCTAAAGGTCTCCGGTTTGCCGGATTCCGGCAAGGAAAGTAGGCCCACCGATCACAATTTTCAACTTAGGGTTCTTAACTTAATTTCATCATAACTTTTGATTTACCCAACCAAATTGAGTGATTCCAAGTTCTATGAACTCCTAATGATTAAAGGAATCTATTGATACCAATTTGGTGGCCGGAGGCTCGCCGGTCGGCGGCCGGTGGCCGGAATTCTCTCTCTTTCAACCCAAAACCCACCCTAATGCATGCTTACAAGGTGAAAACATTAAGAAGTTGTTAAAACTAACCTCTTAGCACGAAAATATGATGGAAAATTGATGAAATTAGTCTTCAAAACTCTCTGGCCGTTCTCCCTCTTCTCCCAATTTGTCTAACCTAGTTTTGAAAAGAAAGTGAATATATATGACTAACTATGCTAATTACTTAATGGGTTTTTAGCCCATAATTTAAGATGTATTTGGGCCCAAAATAACAAATAGAAAATCTTGGGTCGGGGTCTCACATCCTTCCGCCCTAAAAAGAAGTTTAGTCCTCTAAACTTTTACGTACCATTGGTTTCAAATAATTCAGGATACTTCTCCTTAATCTCCGATTCCAATTCCCAGGTAGCTTCTCTCTCCGAGTGGTTATGCCATTGCATTTTCACGTATGGAATGGTCCGCCTTCTCAAAACTTGCTCCTTACGATCAACTATCTTAATTGGTTGTTCATCGTAAGTCAAGTCTGCCCTAAGTGGTAAAGGTGCTAATTCAATCACATGGTTAGGATCAGGAGTAAACTTTCTCAACATCGACAAATGGAAAACATTATGCACACCGGACAATGATGGAGGCAAGGCTAGCCGGTAGGCTACTTCTCCAACTTCTCCAAAATCTCAAAAGGGCCAATAAACCTGGGGCTTAACTTCCCACGTACTCCAAATCTCATCACTCCCTTGGTTGGTGAAACTTTCAAGAATACATGATCTCCCACATCAAACTCCAATGTCCTTCGTCTAATATCTGCATAACTCTTTTGTCGACTCTGAGCAGTTCGGAGACGTTCTCTGATCAATTGAATCTTGTCAACTATTTGTTGGACAATTTCTGGGCCTAAAAGCTTTCTTTCACCTACCTCATCCCAACACACTGGCGATCTACACTTCCTCCCATACAAAGCTTCATATGGAGCCATCTGGATACTCGCCTGATAACTATTGTTATAAGCAAACTCCACTAAAGGTAAGTGGTCATCCCAAGCACCCTTCATATCAATGGCACATGCCCTCAACATGTCTTCGAGAATTTGGATGGTTCTCTCTGATTGCCCATCAGTTTGGGGATGAAACGCAGTGCTAAAGTTCAACTTCGTACCTAAGGCCTTATGAAGACTTCCCCAAAACTCAGCCACAAATCTCGAATCGCGATCAGAAACAATTGACACCGGCACTCCATGCAACCTAACAATCTCTCGAACATACAAAGCAGCTAACTTCTCCAATGAATAACCAACCTTCAAAGCTATGAAGTGAGCAGACTTCGTTAATCTATCAACAATTACCCATACTGACTCATGGCCTCGAGGTGATCTAGGTAACCCAGAAACAAAGTCCATTGTGATGTGCTCCCACTTCCATTCTGGTATTGGAAGCGGCTGTAACTGTCCAGCTGGCCTTTGATGCTCCACTTTCACCTGTTGGCATACAATACATTGTGCTAATTCACCAATCTCCCTCTTCATATTGTTCCACCAGTAAGTCTCCTTCAAATCCCTATACATCTTAGTCCCACCAGGATGCACGGTATATCCAGAATAATGTGCTTCATCCAAAACCACTTTCTTTATTTCTACATCATTAGGAACACATAACCTATCACCAAATCTCAAGGAACCATCATCATGGGTTCTAAAATCAGACGGAGCACCTGTTTCAATATTAGCTCGGACCTTCTGAAGTGCTGAATCAACCAATTGTGCCTCCTTAATCCTCTCAATTAACATAGGTTGAATTCTCAAACTAGCCAACATTCCTTCAATGCCATGTTTCCTAACTCCAATCTCCATCCTTCTCAAATCATCCAAAATGGACCTTTGAGAAGTAAGAAGAGCTGCAAGATTGCCATGATTCTTCCTACTCAATGCATCAGCCACAACATTTGCCTTTCCCGGATGATAACTTATGGTTAAATCATAGTCTTTCAACAATTCTAACCATCTTCGTTGCCTCATGTTAATCTCCTTCTGAGTGAAGATATACTTCAAACTTTTATGATCAGTGAAAATCTCACACTTCTCACCATACAAGTAATGCCTCCAGATTTTGAGAGCAAATACCACTGCTGCGAGCTCCAGGTCATGTGTAGGATAATTCCGCTCATAAGGTTTAAGCTGCCTTGAAGCATAAGCCACAACTTTCCCATTTTGCATCAAGACACAACCCAAACCTTTCTTCGAAGCATCACTATAGATAGTGAATCCTCCACTCCCATCAGGAACGGTTAAAACACTAGCTGAAGTGAGACGTTCCTTCAACTCCTTGAAACTTTTCTCACATTCCTTAGTCCACTCAAACTTAGCACCTTTTCTGGTCAATTTAGTCATCGGCATTGCAATACTAGAAAATCCCTCCACAAACCTCCGATAGTAACCAGCCAACCCAAGGAAGCTTCTAACTTCAGTAGCATTAGTAGGTCGACTCCATTCTACGATTGCCTTCACCTTTTCAGGATCTACTGAGATTCCATCTTTAGACACTACATGTCCAAGAAATGCCACACTATCCAACCAGAACTCACACTTCTTAAACTTAGCATACAACTTCTTTTCTCTGAGAATTTGCAATACTAACCTCAAATGCTCTCCATGCTCCTCCATACTCTTAGAGTACACCAAGATATCATCTATAAAGACCACTACAAACTTATCCAGATAATCCTTAAACACCCTATTCATCAAATCCATGAAAGCAGCCGGTGCATTAGTTAAACCAAATGGCATAACAAGAAACTCGTAATGCCCATATCTGGTTCGAAAAGCTGACTTAGGGACATCCTCCACCTTAATCTTCAATTGGTGATAGCCAGACCTAAGATCAATCTTAGAGAAAACTTGGGCTCCCTTTAATTGATCGAAAAGGTCATCAATATGCGGTAAAGGATACCGATTACGCACCGTTACCTTATTCAACTCTCGATAGTCAATGCAAAGTCTCATGCTACCATCATTCTTTTTCACAAACAAAACAGGAGCACCCCACGGAGAAACACTTGGTCGGATGAAACCATTATCCAACAACTCTTGCAACTGCTCCTTCAGTTCCTTTAACTCAGTTGGAGCCATTCTATAAGGAGTTTTAGAAATAGGTGTAGTGCCTGGAATTAAATCAATAGAAAACTCCACTTCTCTATCTGGTGGAAGACCATGCAAGTCCTCAGGAAAGACATCAGAAAAGTCTTGTACAATAGGAATACTATTTAAACTAGGCAATTCACCATCCAGGTTGTTTTGGACAGAAACAAGAAAACCTAAACATCCACTTTTCAACAAACGTCTAGCTTGTAGCATAGAAACAATTCTAGGAGGAGATTTAGCAGGGCTACCAACAAAACTAAATTCTTCAAAATCAGGGATGCGAAAGTCTATCCTTTTCCTATGGCAATCCAAAATAGCATAATATTTGTCTAACCAACCCATTCCAAGAATCACATCAAATCCATGCATATCTAAAACTACCAAATCAGCAGGTAAACTCACACCCTCAATAACAACAATGCAAGACTTGCATACTTGATTGACAAGTACATCACCTCCAGTAGGAGTATCAATAACAAATTCAAAGTCCAAGGGTTCTACTATCACACCAAGTTTCTCAACAAAAGCAGGGGATACAAACAAATGCGAAGCACCAGTATCAAACAATGTAAGAGCATAAACTGAGGAAACAAGAACCATACCAGTCACCACGGTATTAGATGCCTGAGCATCTTGCTGAGTAAGAGAATACACCCTTCCTTGAACCTTAGGCTTCTGGTTCCCATTCTTAGCAGCTGCTGGAGTAGAAGTCTGGCCCACACTAGCGCCCTTCTTAGGCTGAGGACACTCAAATGACTTATGCCCTTTCTGTCCACAATTATAGCAAAACCCAATAGTTGGTCTTGCACGAGAACAAGAAGCAGCCCTATGTCCCATCTCGCCACAAATCAGACAAGCTCCAGATAACCAACGACAATCCTTAGGGTCATGATTCCCATGACACCTCCAACAATTGCCTCCACTACTCTGCTGAACCCTGTTATTTGTTTGCACAGTTTGCTGCTTCTTACCCCCACCTCCAACATTATGTCCACGGAAGTTAGAATTTCCAGTCCAAGGCCTTTTCTTATTTTCTGAGGTTGCAATCAGCTCATGACCTTCCTCCAACAACTTTGCCTTATTAACCACATCAGAGTATGTAGTCAACTCGAAAGATTTCACCTCATGCTGAAGTCTGGGATTTAGCCTAAACAGGAACCTTTGAGCCTTCGCCACATCATCATTCTTAAAGGAGTCAGGAGCAAACCTCATCAGTCGACTAAACTCCATCTCATACCCAGAAACAGTTCTACTACCCTGCTTGAGTGAATAAAATTCCCCTTGCATCTGAAGTCTCACACTATTAGGGAAATACTTCTTGTAGTACTCCCTTTTGAACACATCCCACAAAATTGGTTTCTCCAAAAGGTTTTCAACAGATTGCCACCAATCACTGGCAACTCCCTTCAACTGATACGATGCAAAAGGAATCTTCTGCTCATCAGATACTGCCTGAGCCGCAAAGGCCTTCTCAATCTCCTTGATCCACTTCTCAGCATCTAATGGATCAATCGAGCTACCTTTAAAGGGTGGAGCGAGCTTGACAAAATCCGTCAAACCACTTCTATACCCAGCACGATTCTCCTGGAACCTCTGTTGCCTATCCACAACCCCAACCAATTGCTGCATCAAGCTTATCACATCTGGCTGATTATTGTCAGCGTTACCCCTTCGGTTTGTCCAAGTCCTCAAGGGTTCATTCTCAGACCTAGAATCCCCAGACTCAGAACTTTCTGTAACGTCGCTAGAACGACCAGTTGCTGCGACATTCTTTTTCTTAGGCGGCATACTACAATACATCACAGAATTTACAAGCAATTCAATTATCAATTAAGCAGAATATCACAAACATAAAGATGCAAATGAACTCCTATTCTACCCATTCCTCACTCGTCACGAAATTCGTCCCTAGTAAGTCGCAACCTAAGCTCTGATACCACTAAATTGTCACGCCCCGTACCCGCAGGCTCGAAACATAACAACGCCACACACTCACGAGGCGAACCCCATGAGCATGTAAGGCTAACTATCAATCCAAAATAATTAAAAGTCTAAAATCTTTAAAATCTCTTAAACCAAAATTAATCTTACAATCCCAATAAGAAACCTTAAACAATAGCGGAAGCGGTTCAATAATATAAATAAATTTCAATGTCTAATTAATTAATCCTAGCGCACTCTCCCAAATGCACCCCAATGCTCAATCGTCATCACCTGAAATATATTAACAACATAATGAGCTAAAGAGCCCAGTAAGTAACAAAACCTAACTAGCCGGATCAAGCATTTAAAATCAATTTTCTCAAAAAAATCACAATATTTAGCAAAACAATATTTTATAATCAATTTCTCAATCACGATCAACAATAAAAACATTTCAATAGAGTTCTTATCAGGCTGCCACGATACACGATATCACGATACACAATATTTCAACCGATCGGTAATAGATTCCGGAACCACCAACAGTTTAACCCCCTGAGGCACGGGTCCACTATGCAGCCATCAAAGTCCCCAAAAACCAATTTTCACAATCTCAAATCAATTTCACAATACCACGATTCCAAATCAATTTTACCTTTCATGCTTGACCCATTTTACGAAACCATTTCAATAGTTCAAAACAAATAAACATCAATCATTTTGAAAATAACCAGAAAGGTTCGGAAACTTACCTGATTAGCAAAGCAATCACAGCACAAAATCCACAGTAAGACAAACACAATCACAATTCTAACAATTTATAACTATTTGTTAGAAACAGAAATTATACACAATGATTATGCATGCTCAATCTACCCTTCAACCAATCCCAAACAACATTGGGGGACCGCTGAAAATTCCTTTTCAAAATATTTAGAAAAACACACACATGGAATTTTCCACATTTAACTCACTTTTACTATTTAAAATAACCATTGAAAATAGATTTCGAAATTTCAAGAGAGTGGAACTCCATTTTAAAAACATAAGAATAATACTGATATTATAATATAATTTTCACCAAAATTTCAGAACTTAACTCTTTAAGATCATGTCACACTCTCAATCAATTTTCTAAAAAGAATAATTTATATAAAATAATTTGTAATCTGAAAAATCATATAAAAATTCTAGAAAATCATAAATATTTTGTTGAGAAAATTCCCCAAATTTCACTTCAAAAAGACCTAGGGGTGAACTACACTCTCCGATTTAATTTATGGCCGAGAGTGGGCATCACAAATTACTGTTCATCTTCTTCATGAACAAATCTGAAAATTCCAGATTCGTCCCATCGACCAGCCATCTTTGGAGCTTCTATTCTCTCTCCTCAAAACACATATGCAGGTATGGAAAGTACCATTAAACAGAGCTTACATCATACTACAATTACCCCATAAGCTTGGCCTCTAAAGGTCTCCGGTTTGCCGGATTCCAGCAAGGAAAGTAGGCCCACCGATCACAATTTTCAACTTAGGGTTCTTAACTTAATTTCATCATAACTTTTGATTTACCCAACCAAATTGAGTGATTCCAAGTTCTATGAACTCCTAATGATTAAAGGAATCTATTGATACCAATTTGGTGGCCGGAGGCTCGCCGGTTGGCGGCCGGTGGCCGGAATTCTCTCTCTTTCAACCCAAAACCCACCCTAATGCATGCTTACAAGGTGAAAACATTAAGAAGTTGTTAAAACTAACCTCTTAGCACGAAAATATGATGGAAAATTGATGAAATTAGTCTTCAAAACTCTCTGGCCGTGCTCCCTCTTCTCCCAATTTGTCTAACCCTAGTTTTGAAAAGAAAGTGAATATATATATGACTAACTATGCTAATTACTTAATGAGTTTTTAGCCCATAATTTAAGATGTATTTGGGCCCAAAATAACATATAGAAAATCTTGGGTCGGGGTCTCACAACTAGAAAACCTCAGCTCTTTAGAGAGATTAGAGTTAATGGACTGTAATAGCATAGTCAGCCTTCCAGAAAATGGATTGCATGGCTTATCTTCCCTTTCTAGTCTGTTAATTTATTCTTGTAAGAAATTAGAATATTTATCTGATGGGTTGAGATATCTGACTTCTCTCCAACATTTATACATCAGTCATTGTCGAGAACTGAAGTCATTGCCTGAAAGTATCCAACATCTCACATCACTTTCCTCTATGGAGATTTACAATTGTGAGAATCTGATGTCATTGCCTCGAGGGCTACAAAGTCTCATGGCTCTCAAACAACTGACCATTAAAGATTGCCCATATCTGGAGAGGAGGTGCAAGGCAGAGAGAGGAGAGGATTGGCCCTTCATTGCCCACATTCCTACTTTAGAAATCATCAGGGGACGGAGAAGATCGAGCAATGTGTTAACAAGGTAACTCTTTAGTTTTTACTTGTATTTATTTATTTTTCTTCATCTATTCTAATAATAAGTCAAATAAAAAGTTACGTAAATTATACAGTAATACCATATTTATTGATATATTTACAATTTTATGGCAACCCAAACACCAAAATATTCCCAAATTATTATTACTATTGTTTTTTTTTTTTAAAAATCTTGTTTCAATATTCTGAGTCCAATTCTAAATAAAATTTCAGGGCTGGTGATTGGGCAAAGGGTTCTTTTGAAATCTTTGTTCCAAATTCCAATGTATTGTGAAGCAAAGGTGAAAGATGGTGATGGAGATATCAAAGCTGTACTTCAACTCATCAGGGCTGCTTGATCTTTAATTAATTCTTGAACATAATTTTCCTGGGGAGAGTACTGCTGCTTTTCATTTTGCAGTATTATTTATGATGATTCTAATAATAATTGAAAGCAAACTAATTAATTTCATTTCGTTCTTAAATTTCAAAAATGAGTATATGGTAGTTTGATTTGTGCTGAATTTGTAATGCCATGTACAACAGATTCCTTGAATCCGAATTTCTGTATGTTGAATCTTTGTCTCATGAATTCCAGTTTATCTTTATTGCCAAAAAAAAAAAAAAGAATTCCAGTTTATTTTTCTTTTCATTGCACAGAAAAAAAAACTTACAAAATACAAAGAATATATATAATCAACCCAGTGAGGACCACATGGTCATAACTGGAACTTTGTTTACTAGGAGGAAGAAAGAAAATATACTAGTTTTTTATCCCCACTAATTTTTCGCTTACCAAATACTACAAGAACAAGAATATAGTTTTGACTTTTGCGTTAGGAAGCGGCTTATTAAACTTCATTTTGCCTTAATTCACAACTTTTCGAGGTTTTAGTTTGAAATTTCACTTCAGATGATGAATTGTACATAATTGTTATGTCAGCAGTATACATCTCGTAGCTAAGAGATTTTTTTTTTAAATGAAATACTCTCGTCTCTTTCTTTCTCTCATCTCATAGCTTTTTATCACCATTTCACTATCTGGCCTAACTGCATTAATTGCATTCATCATAATAATTAATAAACAAGAAAATTTTAAATTGTTATTGTCACGTCCCGAGACCGGAACATGGCAGACGGCCATATTACCCTGTAACAATGTAGACCGAACCAATACACTGCCACAAGATAATACGAAGCCTTAATTTTATTACAAACTTAGATTTCCAAATAAGGATCATAATTCCGTATATATTGTCCACATCTTTATACAACTTAAGTCTCAAAGTTTCCATATAATTAAACTGATACATTTGACATTGTCTATTCGTCAACTCAACTATAAAAGGCTCCTTGAAGTGATCTAGTAGACTAGTAGCTCCCAAGTTTTCCCCAATCTCATATCTAAGCATCCGTAGACAAATCAAAATAAGTCTGGGTGAGCAACACATGCTCAGTAAGTCTCCCCATACACCCTCCTTCGGATCAAGTATAATTTACGATAAATCATACATATATAGATATACCATTCCATCATGTCATTTCAAATAATATAAAACAAGTATAAGTTGATAAAGCATTTTTTTGAATCCATAAAATAACCATAAATTCAACAATCATTTTCATAGTCATGCTTTCAAACAATTATAGGATGGTGTCATAAAATCATCTAAAATTGTGTATATCCACAATCATTATAAACCAACTAACTATCAACTCATGAAATCATTAAATCATCAAATCATGAAATATACATCCATTCCTAGGGATGGCAGCGGGTCGGATATCTGCCTAAATCTCACTATCCGAATCCGTATCCGTTTAAAATTAGTGATATCTGTATCCGCTAAATATCCGCCTATTTTTTAAAACTGGTATCCAAATCCGCTCCGCAACCGCATGCTATTATCCGTATCCGCTCCGTTTAATCCGTTTAATAGCAAATATCCAATTAAAACTCAAATCCGAATCCAACTAAGCATTATAAGAACTTACAGATAACATATTTTTGTCTAAATTCACTTAGACATAATTTAATCCCTAAAAACACACTAACAATATAAAGATAAACAAATAAAGTTCACAAATCATAAAAGTTTAAACTGTTCTAATCCAATTAAAATAACTCAGCACTGATGACATAACAAAAACAGAAACTTCATTCTTCAATTTGATTCACCCACATCCTCTTCAGTAATGCACAAACAATAAGAACTAGCATCTAAATTTGGAGGGGACCCTATACATAAAGAAAAAGTTGTTAGTATCTAATTATATATATGATACTTCACTTGAAAAAAATATTAATGTGCACATATTTTTTACCTTCATTTTCATTTGAATTCCATAACCAATTTTGCGAACACATCAACGCCTCCAAAGTGTTGGGATGAAGCCTACTTCGATGGGGACTAACCACTCTCCCACTAGTACTAAAAGCGGACTCAGATGCAACAGTGGAAACCGGAATTGCAAGAATATCCTTAGCAATCTTTTGCAAAGTAGGATACCTTATACCCAATGTCTTCCACCAATTAAGAATATCAAAATCTTGACTCCATGGCAAAGTAGCTTCTTCAAGATAATGATCCAACTCAGAATTGACAGTGCTCGAATTAGTAGAAGACTCATTAAGAAAAGCAACCAACTTGCTAAAATCTTCTTGTTG